CCCATAGGGTTTCCAAGGAGCAGCTGGTGGAGTTGAACTGCCAACCTTTTGGATAGCAGCTGAGCTCTTAACCACTGTGCCACCAGGGCTCCAGGTCCATATATAGATTATAAATAAATATACATTCATGTATTAGAGATGAGGGCTCAAAAATATTTGTGGACTATTGGTGCAGTAGAGGTACTTGGGTGGCACAAACTGTGCTTGACTACTAGCCTAAAGGTTGGAGGTTCAAACTTATCCAGTGGTACTGTGGAAGAAAGGCCTGGTGAGCTGCTTCCATAAAGATTATAACCAAGAAAACTGTATGGAGTAGTTCTACTTTGCAATACTTGGGATCTCCATAAGTCGGAATCAACTAAACTGCAATGGGTTTGGTTGTTATTTGTTTGATCTGTTGGTTGGTTTTTATTGGCTCTATGGTTGGACTATAGGCCATTCTCGGTTGTGAACCAATTAAGAGGCATAGGTGCTTGTGGGCAAGGAGGCAAGTGTAGATACTAGGCTGATGGAGAGCAAGGGCTAGGCAGCCACTGAAGATACTTGGCCTAAATTAAAAATTGTGTCTATGGGTAATTCTGAAATTGGGCGCTTTGCCCCACATGTGTTACTACATCTCAAGAGGACTCCATTTTTTCTCTCCTTTCTCATATCCCCTTCTGCCTCCCAATGCTGTCCTAAGAGAAAGCATTTAGCTAACCCACAGAGTCTAATTCTAGCCTTCACTTCATGCTGTGAGAATTTGCAAGCAACTGATTAGGAGGCAAGAGGTTTTATTTTTCTCTTTGGACAGGTTCCCAGAATAGGCAGAGACATTTTTCTTTGGTCTCAGTTCTTACAAACTTCCATGAGGGCACATTTGCATCCCAGTATTTCAATCTGAAGTGCCCCCAAAGCAACTCCGTGGGAGAAATCAAGAAGACTTTATCTATTTTAATGATGGACAGACAAAAGACAAAAGGTTGAAAGGCAAATACATTTGTTATGGGTAGTCAAGGCCCAACGTTCTCAAACTGTAAGTGGGTTTAACATTGGGTTTCAAACTTGTCTCAAATCAGAATTTGAATAGCAAAGCCTAAAAATAAAATATGCGAAGATTTTAGCCCAAAAATCATTCTGCAAGGCAGTGGGGTGTAGGAAGTGGTGGTGTTACTAATAAAACACGAGACTGATTGTTCTAAATACCTTTGTAAAAATATGAGAACAACATAAAAATTCTTTGAGGAATAGAACTCACACTGTAAGTCCCAAGAGAAAACCTCATGAGCTCACAAAATAGTGCCAACTACCATTTTAAATTGAAATAGTACCAAAGGGTAAGCTTCCTTTTTGGCACTTCAAGAATTTGGCGATAGCAGCCGAAGAATATTCATAGGAATAAATGTCACTCTTGTAACAGAAGGAAAAACTCACTCCCATGCCAATCAAGAAGGGAGAAGCCAACACATTCCGCCCCACCTAAAATGGCCACGGATCAGATGATGCGCAGCTCAGCGCTTTGGTATGAACAGCTGAGATGAGCTATAATTTGTGGGCTTTCCCCATTGCTCTTTTTTTTCTGGAGAATATTAATATTTCATCCATTTAAAAGCCCCCCAATATGGATTAAAATACTAAGAGAAAAGTTGGTCTTGGCAATTTCCTTTATTATTTGCATATTTATGCAAAATCCTGTGTATCAAAGGAGACCTAGATTTGTAAATCATTTATCTATGGTTTTCTGAGGCCTTTTAACCAACCGTGTTTACCTGATTAGTTCACTTTGTTCAAAGTCTATACTATTCCCAGTATAAAGTTTAAAAGTTGACAAGTGTGAATATGATTTCTTTTCATACATGAGAAAGGGAAAGAGGATTTCTTTTTAAAATAATTATTAAAATAAAGCTTGAAAACAAGTTAATTTCTAATTCAAACTGAGCTACTTAACCCTAAACAATAGTAACACATCCTAGATTAGAAAACATACATCCCTAAAACTGAATGTACTCATCAAGACGATGGTACGTGTTCTCCTTCTACATATTATGGATTACTGTGTATTAAAATTTCCACAAATTTTAGAAATCAAAGAAGAAAAAAATACTCTGAAAAAATACAGAAAGGGGTCCAACTAGCTCTCAACATATGAAGAAACCCCAACCTTCTACACAAGCGTACATGAGCTCATTACCAAGATACATCCTACTCCACCCACAGCCTTTCTCACCCCGGTTGATGCACAGACCCAAGCTTTCTTGACTCTTCCTTTTGCACTAAGACCCCACATCCAATCCGTAAGCAAATCCTATTGATTCTACCATGAATATTTGCCCAGAATCCGACCACTTCTCACCACCCCCACTGCTACCGCCCTGGTCCAAGCCACACCATCTTTTTTGAATTTCAGCCACAGCTTCCCAACAGGTACTCTGCCTCTGCCTTTACATCTATTCATAATCAGACCGATCCTGCAAAATGTAAGTCAGATAATTCATTTCTGTCCTTAATCTCTATAGCCTTCCTTTTCCCTTAAAGTGAAAGCCGACATTCTTGCAACGGCCTATAGGGTCCTAGGTTATCTGCACTGTTCCTGGCTGCCTCTCTGGCCCCCTACTACCACTCTCATCAACCTACTCCAGCCAAACTGGCCCTCTTGCTCTTCCTCATACGTGCCAGGCACGCGCCTCTCTATCTAACTCCTTCATCCCCTCCAAGCCTTGCTCATGTGACATCTTCTCAATGAAGGCCTCGCCTGACCATCCTATTCAATACCACAACTGCCCCCACCACCACACCATACAGGCCCCATCTGCCCACCCAGCACCTAGAACCTTCTGACTTAATTATACAATTCACTTGTTTAAGTACGGTTCACCTCCTCATGCTAGAAAGTAAGGCCTTGAAGACAGGAATCTTGGTTTTGGCCGCTGAGGTATCGGAAGCATCCAGAACGGTGTCTGGCACATAGCAGGTTATCAATAAAAATAGAGAAGAAGAGATAAACCTAAGATAGAGTAGGGCCAGAAGGCCAGGGTCTCAAGCTTTTCCAGAGAGCCTCCTATTTCCGTAGAGAAACAAGTTAACAGCTCATCATAAATTTTGATCTTAGCCATGACCTTTTAACTTCTTGTTCTAATTAATCTGCGGATGGAAAAATGATTCCAGTAGTGAAAAACCTTCCAGGCCTCGCCGAGGCTGTGAGAAGCTTCTTCCATGTGCTAGAGGAGGCCAGGGTTTACACACGGAAGAAGGAACATAGACCCCCATGCTGACGCCTGGGCACCCTAATCTGCAAAACACTCAGCACCACTCTGCAGACACCATCTGGGAAACATGGCGCATGTGGCATCAGGAAAGAAGTGGCTCCCTCCAGGCACCAACAGACAAGTCAGAAAACAGCAGCAAGGAGAAAACAGGTAGTAGGAAGAGGAACAATGTATGACCCTGAAGGAACAGAAAAGGAGCCGAAGAAATAAACTATGCAAAAAATGACTTTCCAATGGGGATTCTCCCAGACCAGGAAGGAAGAACTAATGTATAAAAGTGTTTTTAATTAAAAAAGAAAAATACTTCTATTATGAACACGCATCTGGGGAGAAGATGCTAGAATAATAAATACTTGTGCTGTGCTGTCACATTTGACTCTCATAAGTCACCTCTGGAAATTAACAGATGCATTTATCTCTAAGTAAGCTGAGCCTAATTATGACGCAGTCACTACTTTGCCGTTTAGTAATAGTCACATCATATTTTGAATGTGTTACTTATTCATTATGTTATTTATACCAGCGTCCCTCATCTTTTCCTGGAAAGAATTGGATGTAATTTACTTCACGTGTGGGTGCGCGCGCACACACGCGCACACACACACACACACACACACACAATTACCATATGTTTATATAATGATCTCCCATTTCTGGAGGGTTCACATACATGGTCTTATTTGACTGCCACAAGAGCTCTATTAGACATACAGAGAAGACATAAATTTTTATTTTCTGTCCCTTGATAATTATTTTCAGATAAAAATATTATCTCTCAGGAAGATTTAAAGACTTATCCAAAGTCGCCATGCAAATGGTAGATTAGGGATTCAAACCCACGTCTTCTGGTTCCTAGACTAATGTTTAATTTTTAAATTATAGTACATTAAGTATTCACATGTACTTTAAAAATTAACCATGGAGCCATGGGAAAGTGTCATAATAGACTACTAAGAGAAAAAGGTAGATTCTATAATGTTATGATCTTTTTGTAAAAAACAAAAGACATATATGCAGATAAACGGAAAAAGAGAATAGCGTGATCTCATTTTTATAAGCACCAAAATGTGTGTGTGTGTGCGTATGTTGTGTTGTGTGTTGTGTATGTGTTGTGTTGTATATGGAAAAAAAGAAATGCTAGTTATACACCCAGAGTCCCTGGGTGGCACAAATGGTTAAGCACTTGCCCACTAGCCAAGTGTGCTCTGCACATGTGGGGTCGACTCAATGGCAGCTAACAACGACAAGGTATACACAAAAATACTGACGCTGTAATTAGCTTCACTTTCTAGTTACAACAGTTTTTTCAAGTTGTAATAAGAAAAAAATAATAATAATGGTTATGTTTCTTTTCAAAGTCTGAGTTTAGGGCCTGTTACTCAAACCAAGTAGGAAGATAAAACCCCTCTGCTAAACAGGTGTAAATGAAATCTTCCTGTATTTCACGTAGTCTTTACACCTAGATGTCCTTATCTTTCCTCAAGCTATTTAGTTTCTTTCTTTCCAGAATGGGAACCTTGTCAAGAGCTACAGATTCTTCATTCCTCTGGCCTAACATCAAGAGGAAACAAAGGGTAGCTTCTAACTCCCATTAAATTAACTCCTAAATACCACTCAAAAGTCACGGGCAATGCAAGCAGATGTGGTGTGAATTGGCCTCCATTTTTTAAATTTGATTTCTTCTTTTGTGTTTGAAATGTAAATTATTGGATGCCAGGTGTTCCAGAGTACACTGCCCCAGGACAACTGCCTTACCTGTTTATCTCCAGCGTGTGCACGCCATACTTGCTCTCAATGCGATACTTTCCCGGCTCACCTGCTTGGCAGATCAAGCTACCATCTTTATACCTAAACAAAGGAAACCCTTATTTTAGTTAAAAGCTGATTCTTTTTTTCCGTTTTATCGCAGTCTTCTTGACTGCACCCGTAACATGCTATAGCTATGCTACTATACACTTCACTTTCTAGCACCCAAGGTGGGTGGGAGGAGGGGGAGCGTTGTAGGAAGGATTCACAGCTGGCGTCTCCTTTTTTCAGGAAGTCAACAGCATTGGCATAACACAAACTATCTGGACCATCCTCAGCCTATGACAGAGTGTCCTCCAAAAGTCAGCTTGAACTTTGGTCGTTAGGAACAGAACGTATCATTCCATCATTAAAAATGTAACCGATGTTGGTTAGATCCCACTAGCCTATGTAGGCCCTAGTGGAGCTGGAATATGATAGTTCTGCAGGATCTAACCACACGGAAATCCTGACTAGAGGAAACTGGCTTCTTAGCTCCATGCCAGGAGAGCAGGGCCACGTCTACCCTCAGTAGAGTCTTGGCATCAGAATAAGAGACTTTCAGGCTCCTGGGCCTGCCATACGAACAGCGATGGAGTTGAGATTGTATTTTTCTGAACTGCTGCTGAGAGTTTCAATTCCGATTACAAGGAAAGTGTTTATCGTTTTTGTGGCAAACTACAAACTTTGGAGCTTTATTATCACTTCCCACAAGCGGGAAAACAAATAGAAATTTATAAATATATGTTTTTTAATTTTAGCAACAGACATTGACATAAAAAGGGGCTGTGGGGCTTAAAGATTTAATTCTTCAATTATCACAAAGTTCAATTAACTACAGCACTGCAGTCCCAAAGCTTCTGAGTTTAGGGTTGCTACTTATGAGTCTCCTCTCGTTAAAATCATAGAAACTTAGCACTCACGTGCAAAGAGTCAGCAACAACGCAAACGAAAGCTTAGTGACAGTTATGCACATGAATACATGTCAATTCAATAAACCTTTTTTTACATTAAAAACTAATCCTGGGAAATCAGTCAAATTAATTTCACCAACACAAAAATACCTGTACCTTATTTAAAATGCCTATTTCACGAGTTTTTATAAACATATTTCTTACAGAGACTTTCAAGCACAGCTGCCTAGAGAATACATTTTGTGGCATGCGATTACTTCGTTTTCGTCTTCTTCACGTGCACATTTTAGCCAATCCCTTCTCTACTCTGAAAAGAAAACGAAGTATGACATTTTTAAACCCCTGGGAACAGAAAAATACTGACCATTGTACCACGGGCGTAGGAAATCCTTGAACAGTAAAACAAAGCTTCACAGACATCTTTTCCCAGACAGTATGGGACCTCAGTCTCACCAAAATCTCAGGGGCTCTAATCATCCGTTCTTCAGATGAATGCCTTTCCCAGGCCAGCTTATCCTCCATCTGTCATCAAGACAGAAGAACGGTAGGGCATTGTAGGGAGAGCTATGCTTCATGAACAACGCAACTCTGACCTGTCAAGCCACATCAGCTTAATGGTGACAAACTATAATTTAATCAACACATCCAAAAAGCAATCCAAAGATTCCCCTACCATCTGCTCAACAGCATATTTGTCCAGCTTATCCCGAGCAAGTGAACGCGCCAGGTGAACGTCTTCTTCTAGCTGAGCCAGTTCACTGAGAAAACGCTGCCGCTTGGTTTCTCCATAAGATGCCACCAGTGATTGGTACCTGCACCATCAAAGAAGCTACATTATTCTCAGGACACACTGAAAAGATGACGTGCTCATTAAAGGTCCTGTTCTCTCTCCCAGGATTTCCTTAAGCAGGGTGCAAGAAAAAATATTAGAAATGCTGTTTATATTTATCTCTTTCAAGAGTATACTGGTGAATTTTTAATACCTTACATTAAAAAAAAAAGTTATGAAGGATATATATATACATGATTCATCAATAAAATTAATTAGGAGTTATATGCTCCAATTTCTTTTTATCAATAAGAATGTATGATTACAATAGTTTAGAGACCCATAGACTATGTTTTAGAAAATTACTAAGAATGGTCCAAGTGTGAACAAGCTCCATTCAAAGAGGCTGTATGTGTTTCTGGCCATATTAAGGGTTGGAGGTGAATCTTGTATGTGGTACATCATAATCAACAAACAGCAAAGCAAAACAAGCGTTGGACTTGGAGTGAGAAAGTTAGTTCGAGGCTCCTTACAAACGGATTTGTTTGCGCACCTTTATATACGTGGCAACGCCATGAAGTAGATGTTCGATAAAGACCTCACAGCCACAAACAAATCACTTAACCTTTTGAGGATTCAGTCTCCTCATTTATAAAATAAAGCTAAGCCTGGCTACAGGGACCTGGGGCTCAAAATGGTACTTCTGGGCTTTTAAAGTCCGTTCCAATATGTTATGACAGCTTAAGAAATTGCGCCTCTCACCCGTGAGTAGTTTTTCTTCGGCTGGGCAGCATAAGAAGGTTATTTGTTTTCCTGGGGAGACTACAGTTTCTGGTTGAATTTAAGACTGAATTAAAGACTTTGGAATTAACAGGTACAGATGAGAAATAAGTCTATATTCTAGAATAATAAAAAGGATAAAATGAAAGATTCAGCTTCGTCTATCTGTCATGGTAGGAAAGAAACGATGCACACAGTCTCTAAGCGGGCGTGCCATCATTGTGAAATCCTCAAATGACGCCCGTCCATACTGCCGGGACTGAGACTGCTCTGGAAAGGCTGTGTCATCTTTTTCCAGACTCGGGTCCGCTTCACCTTTGCATTCCCTACATCCCATCAAAATTACGATGCTGCTTGCTGTTCTGCTTAGCCCCTTCTGATCGTGTCCCACGCCTCAGAGAAATCTCCCTCTCGTCCCCTCCTATCAAAATTCTCTTCCCTTCAAGACCCATCTCCAAAGCAATCTCTCCCATGCTGCTATTGATAATCTGCTCCACTGTTCCTTTGAGCCCCCAAAGGTCTTTGGATTTCTCTTGCGGCCTTTATGGCAATAACCTGTGTAGAAGGTTTATCCCACTTGGCTCCTCACCGCCTAGCAGAGCATGAACGCCTTAGGAAAAAGGGTGGCCTACTCCTCATGTCTGCATTCCCAGGCTGCTTCATGTAGTATGCATACTCAGGAAGTGCTTATCAAATATTCATTCGGCTCATCCTGGGCGGGGGAGGTAGGGTTAATGAGCCGTGGGGATCAGGAAGAGTGTACAGTCCTGCCCGGGAAGGAAAAGAGGCATGACGGAAAAAGGCTGTACCAAAAAAAAAAAAAGAAATTTGTTTTCAGCATAAAGTTTGGGAGCTGAAGACGTTGCTGGACTAGCTTGATTTCATATTAAAAAAATAGAATATTAGAGTTGGAGGGGACCTTGTGAATCAAGTCTACCCAGAGCTGTCAATAAAATTGTCCAAAAAACTACTGCAGGTTAGTGATAAAGCCCTTTTAGAACTCTGGTTCCACGGCTGCCGGCCCAATGCCCCTTCCCAACATTGCCTGTCCCTGGTTCCGGTTTATACCTCTCGAAACAGTATACGGAGCCCTGGTGGCGCAGTGGTTAAGAGCTCACGCTGCTCACCAAAAGGTCAGCAGTTGGAATCCACCAGCTGCTCCTTGGAAACACTGTTGGGTAGTTCTCCTCGGTCCTGTAGGGTCGCTCTGAGTCGGAATCGACTAGACGGCAACAGACTTAAACAGCATATAAAACTATAACCTAATGTCAGCCATTTGGGAGGTCTGAAAGCGAGTCCAGAATTTCAAAAACTTCCACGTCTTCTCAATACAGAAA